GGCGCGGCTGGTGTTGGTGCCGTGGGCGTCGGAGTTTGTTTGCTTTAGTGCGCATGCTGGTGAAGAACTGCTATTCCTATTATTGTATCTTTGCCCGAGAGCCCCTTAATTTCAAAATTGTATTGATTTGAAAGGGGTCTGCGTTTTCCATTCCAAGAGAGTCTTCTGCCTTCTGTAGCAGACATCTGTTTTTCAAACCAAAGCAAATACTCAGTCTTTTAGAGGAAATTTGCAATGTGCATGACATAAACTGTGGAGTTGTGGTTTTATGTGTTTTATTACATCTTTATTCTGTCATGGTTTGTTCTTGTGTACCCCCATACTGTCTTGGTTTCTCCCTGTTTCCCACCTTCCCCCATGTGTCAGTTTCCCTAGAAAATGCCAAATCATTCCCCTGTCCCCTCCCAGGTGCTTTGTCTGTCACTTGGTGTCCCTTCCCCTACCTCTGGAAACTTCCATCCAGGGCACCGAGTGATTGGATGAGGTCCTGGGACCCCTCCCCTGTCCATCCCTCACTGGATCCCCCAGATGTCAATCCCCACAGAGTCACTCCTGTCTGTTCCCCACTGGCTGATCGGTGCCCTCCCTCTCCCTATGGAACCTGTTGCCAGCACCCCTCAGTGGCTCTTGTTGGCTGGCCCCCTCCGGTGCTGTTGGATCCTCAGGACCTCAATAAACATCGGATTTTTGCCCCCAACAAGTGCCTCTCCTCATTTCCTCGCTGTTGGAATCAGCAGTGACCTCAGGACCCACCAAGCACTCTCCAAAGCCCAGCCGGGTACAGCGGAGGGTGCTTCCACTCGCCCTACTCGCCCCGCAGGAGAGCTAGCCGGGGCTGAGGACAGGGGTCTGGGGCAGGGACGTGGCAATAAACATTGCACAATACATTATTTTCTTGAACCACTCTTCATGATGTTGCAGGCAGTATAAAATTTACATCTGGATGAAAAATAGAGTAGCCATTTGTTGCATTCCTGTCTAGATCATAGGAATGGTACTACAAGCTACATAATAACACAAAAAAGAATGCAGAATTCCTCAGAATTTAAATAAAGCTTTGTCTGTATATGTAATTTTTACCTTCACTGATAAAACATTGGTAATAATACTTAAAATTCTCTCACTGAATATTGGTAGGATTAATCACTGATGTAATAGGAAAAATAATATATACTGGTGAAGGATCAAAATTGCTCTCTTAAAGGATGGAAATTAGATTGATCTGAACTTCTGAAATGGAACTTGAAATTAAAAAATGGAGCTTGTTAAAAGGGTAAGATTTACATTTAGCATGTAATTTCATAAGTACAACTCTTATAATACATTTCAGTCTGCCTTTTTTATATAATTAATAACAGCATGCAACAAATCAATTTGCCTTTGACAAATAATGTGACTATCATAAAAAAGCCACATTCTTAAT